AAACTTCAGACTTTAAATTAAACCACCTAAGTACAGGTTTTTCCTGAGTACAACTTGAAATGGCTAATCTGGTCAAGCTCTTCTCATCATCTGTCATCTTGTTAGCCAATTTCTGTAATAAATTTCCCATCTACTTATCATCTATCTATATCATAGGATGTGTTTTTCTGGAGAATCTTGAGCTATGAAATTTCTAATAAGAATGAATGGTTCTTACTGGAAGATTCCCTCTTATTGATTTATGGACATCTGAAATATACTGTAAAGACATTCTTCATTCACTAGTTCTAATTATGTTGAAGCCTATAGCAATAAAGTGAAATGGCTGAAACAAAAAAGTATGGATCAATTAATTGAAGGCATATATTTTAACCAATGGCTTTGTGTCTTTCTTCACATCTACTGGACCACATAAAGTAATACTTTCTATTCATTGTGTAATGTTGGTATTGTGTGTCATTTGCCTATGGCTTCATCTAACTTTCAAAATCATTCTTTCATCATTACCCTATTTTTGTCAAGTGATTATTATTTTTAAAAGTGTTTAAATTAATAGAAAAAAATCCTAAACAAAAAAAAAACTATTTTAAAAATTAAACAAAAATATAGCTGTTATTTATTGTCTTGACAAGTTGCAGGGTTTACAAAATATAAATAAAAATAAAGAAAAGTGAAAGATTACTTATTTGATTCATTGCAATATTAAATGCCTGTAAATTCCTTTGTGTTTTTTTTAATGAGCTGAGGTCTATCTAACCAACATCATTCTTAACAGCTTACAATAAAAATATGGCAAAAACAATAACATACTAGTCTGAATAAGACTTAATAAAAAACATCATTAATATATTTTACCAAGTTTTAATTAAAGTATCTCATTTTAATAAAATTTAATCATATATGCATTATAAATGTCATCTTAAATATAATAATAATAAATATGTTTTACAATAGGCAAAATGAAATAGCTGATATTAGACAAGCAGATACTCTTGTATTGAAAATATGATAAATATTAATAATTATATATAATATTTTCCAGAAAAATAATTTAGCTTTAATTTAAGAAAATATAATAAAGAACATCTGGGAGACCTGCTTATAGGCCTTTTTAATATCAAGTTTAGTATTTAGAATAGAAATTTTAAAGATAAAATTAGATCATGTCAAGTTTGAGTGAGTTATTCAGGATAGTTGCTTCTATTTTTTCTCCTCAAGGCAAAGTTCTTTGCATTCAGGAACTGTTCTATTGCTACAATTGTTTTTTATTGCTTTTGTGAAAAAAAATATATAAATATATACTTACTGAACCATAAAAAATATATTTTACATCTACCATTATTTATATTACCTATTCTTTTAAGAAGGGAGAGACATTAACTTAGATTCCAAAAATAGATCAATATATTTAAATTATTCAAGATATTTCATTCAAATTTTTTATTGCACTGGACAAGAAAACTTTTTGATACCTCACTGCAAGTTAAATTCACTTTTAGGAAAGATACAGAAAGCACTGAGAAATAAAATACATTAAAAGATGTATACTATTATGCCTCTGATCATAAATACCCATCTTTAACAAAAGATAATCATAAATACAAAATTCAACAAGATAGATGGCTAAATATTCAAATAAGTTAATATTTCCAAAAGTATAGGCATTACTATGATAGAGACCTTGAACCACAGAATTCAAATTGTTTTTACCTTTTTTGTTTGGGCTAATCTAATATTTTACTTTGCTGGTTGATATGGTAAAGCTCATACTGTTCATACTGAAAGTAGTACATAAACCAAAAAGTGGTAACCTATTTAAACTTATTGTGTGTAACATTGTACTTCATTATATCTCTTCACAAACTAAATCACTCAAAATGAGCAATATCCAATATAAACATTTAGAAAAATAGTAAAGAATTGTTTACAACAGATTTTTGAATTATCTCCAGTAAAATAACCCTATAATAAAAGGTATTGAATTGTGAAGAAAACTAAGAAATTGAATTTAATTAATGGGGCAAGGGTAATTTCATTTTACTAAGTATATATGAGTCCAAAAATGCCTGATCATGTTTTAAATAACATCACATTAATATACAACAATTGTGGATTGATTCTGTGTAAAGTACTATAGTTAAAAAAGACCAGAAGAATTTCTATAGATGGTGATTCTTCTGATCTTTGCAAACCTAACATTATTGATTGCATGGTAATTAAATAACGTATATAAACATCACACATGACAATTATCATGAATATTGGACAATATTTGCAAAACAAAAATCCTTCTATGGATTTTTAAAAATATCACCCTGGCCATTATATTTTACCTTTTATTAGTGTCCTAATGTTTGCCTTAATAATACCTTATAGTCAAAAACTTATATGCTTTAACAAAACAATTTTTATAACTTTTGAGAATAACTTCATTAAGAAAATCATTTTAGAATTTTTAACATAAACTAGCTTTTAAAAAAAATACTAAGGTTATTATGTACTTCTTTTTGCTATTAAAATAACATATGTAAATATTACAAATCATCTGAGTTCACCTCAAGTTATAAAGAGTGTGGTTAAACCTCAAACAATGAGCAGTATCCAACATACACTTTAGAAAAATTGCAAGGACACTGTTTATAACAGACTTTTTTGAACTCTGTTCAGTAAGTTATCCCTCTAATAAAAGGTGACCAGTTGTGAAGAAAACCTTCTGAATCACAGAACTAACCAAATCATTCATAAAAAAACAATGATGCTTTCATATTTGTAATACATTTCTGACAAATGAGATAGTCATTCAAGTGACTTAGATTTGTTTAATGTTTATTGCTAAAATGTCTACTGAAAATTGATTTCACTACTGATGGCATATTATGTGGTTTTAAAAAGCTTCAAATATTTGTTGATGTACATTTTCTCAGAAAGAAAAAATATGGCTGAACAAGTTTTATGCATGTCTTGTCAATCTATAAGAAGATTTGCCTTTAATTAATTAAATGATTAACTGATTAGCCATTAGTTAATTGATAGCTGATAGAGATAAAAAGTGTTTTAGGGCCTCTCTGGTGGCTCAGTGGGTTAAATCTCAGCATTAAGAAGCTCTCAGCAGCCACTGCAGCATGAATGAGTTTGATCCCCAGCCAGAAATTAACCCACATGGCATAGCAGACCTCTCCTATCTGACCCACTGCTCCCCTCAGCAGCAGTATATTTCAGTAATCTGCCTATTCTGTTCTCCATTCTGTCTCTTGTGAATTCTTTCAGCCTCCTTCTCAGTACCTGTAGCATTCGCCCCAGCTCTTGTATGCATAAATAATAAAAACATAAAAAATAAAAAGATGTATTAGTGCTATCTATTCTATGATAAAATTTTAGGTATTAATATTTAAACCATTATTCTAAAGTTCTCCATCAGCAATATGTATTTCCAAATATGCTGTACCATATATAAACACCTTCATTATTCCTCCTCATGACTGCATAGGACACCAGCGATTATTAAACAAGTGGTCTCTTGGAAGACATCAGAGGTATATTTAATATTTTGCTATTAGACATATCTTACATGAGTAGCAGTATGCATATGTTATCAGCATATTTCCAAAGTGTTAGAATTATATTTCTACAAGAAAGATCATTGAACAAACAAAAATTCATCATAAATATTACAGAGGGAAATAATCTTAGAGACTATCTTATCACTAAATGTTAAAAATAATGACACTAAAGAAGAAGTTGATTTTATTAAATATATGCAGTAATATCCAAAATTTAAAGCTAAAATTTAATATAAATTTTAGTTTTTAAAATATTTTTATTTAAATAACACTGCATTATAACATGATAAAAGTTTCATGTACACCTCATTATAAAGCAACATCTGTATATATTACATCAAGTTAATCACTAAAATACAATTATTTTATCATCTATCTGACAACTTTTATCTAATTTATCCATCCCTCCCTTTCCCTTATATAATTGCTAATTCTGTTTTAAATTGAAATGATTATAATAAAAGCATTATTAGTTGTAAAAAAAAAATCTGTTGACCCAAACTTTGTAGTCAAATACCTAAATTTGAATAAAAAGTTATTTCCTATAACCTAAAGTCAATAATTTTGGTATTTAAAAGCATAAGATGTTAGACTTTAACACAAATTTAAATAATTAGAAAAATAATATACTTCTTAATTCACTTATTGAGAAATGATTTATTGCATGCTATAATGTGTATATGTACTTATGAGTATGTGCTTATGAATGTTACTGACAATTATTATTTTTTAGATCAACAGTAACTTAAACTTATTGAAATAACATATAATTGCTTTCTTGTCCCAAGAAACAAATTATTGATATTTCCAATAAGTAAAATTTATTCAAACTTTCTTTTTTTAAAATAACTTTTATTTCATAGTTCTTTCCTATTTTATAATTATGCTTTAACCAGCCTTATAAGACCATAATAGACTCTAACATCGACAGAATCATGGGTTCATGGGATCTAGAATGTGATTTGTGTTGGGTCCTTTGCCTGGACAGACCTCCCCACCTCCCCCACAGAATCATATGCACACTGTTGTGTGGAAACAAAGAATGAGCCATGGGTGCTGCAACAGAAAAACAGGAGGCAGGAAGTGTTCCTGCCTTGTGTTTGCTACCTTGTGTTCTTTGACCCCCATGTTATTGTCGCATGTTATTGATGCACTTGCTGACAGCTTCCGCCTACCCCCAGCCCCAGGCTCCATGCTGAAGGGTATAAATAGGGAAGGAGAGAAAAATAAAGTGTGTGCCTTTGCTTGCTGACCAAGAAGTGTGTGCTTTAATCCTGACGTCCTTCGCTCAGACCATCTCAGTTGTCGTGCTGGAGCGGCAGATTTGTACATGAAATAGACTGACTAGGGCTTAAAAAGAATGAATGCAGCTTAAATATATATTTTGTGAAAGCTTGTGACCAGAATCAGCTGCATGTACATTTATTCAATTCAACTTACCAGAAGGATGACGATTTTTTTCCTCTAAAAATTCTAGATCAAGCATTAGATCATCTTCATCAAGTTCACAAGATCCTAAGTTATTCAAAACATCCTGAAGACAAAACAAAATCACGAGTTAGATGCAAAACACTGAGAACTGGAGATATCTACATGCAGATATCAAGTAAAATATGTCAAAATTAGAAATGGAAATTTTATTTGAATCCCAGAAATTAACAAACATATACTAAAAGTACCCACTACTGTAGTCTGATTCCATGGGTAAGGAAAACTTGGCTCCTACATAAAAAAGCTCTTTTCCATAGCTGGTGGTGGTATTATGCTAAAGACCTACAGCAATCACATCAGGGATCAAAGTTAAGATGGCAACTACATATATAGATGTATGTATATAAATATATACTTACTTCTGTTAGTCATGCTCAAAGTACCTGAGTGCTAGCAACAGAAACAAGGCTCTGTAATTGAAAAGAGTAATGATAACCCTCAGTCTTTTTTCCAACTTTTTCCCAACAATAATCTCCTTCAGAATAGTACAACTGCTGAAAGATGACTGAGTGGAGGGCACAAATGCACACGTGAGACATGCATCCCTCATTTAATTGTAAACAGAGCCAGATTAATATCCTGCCCACAGTGCAACCAGGAATTTTCAGTTCATTTTATTCCTGTCCCACCACCACAGGAAATAATAACTAGTTTCAGAACCAAAATATCAAAGTTAAACCACAGCTGAGCAAATGAAAGGAACTTGTAGGTATTACCCAAAGCAAAATAAGCCAAAAGTTAAAGACAAGCAGTCAACAATTTTAAATATAGCAGTAATACAATGAACAAAGTGGATGAAAAGATAGAGCTGAATAGTTATAAACTAGCAGACTTTGTTAAATGAACTTAGGTTCCTGAGGTAAAGAGAAAGAGGGGGAAGGAGAACTGTCAAGATGGTATAGGATATAATGAGGGGAAAATGTAAAAAAATAAAATAACTAGTAGAAAAAAGTTCCAAGAATTATTATAAAAATTCTTAACTTCCCCATTTATTTGCCTATAAGACAACAAAATTCAATGGACACACATATAAATAAGTAGCAAAAATACTAGAATACAGGAAAAGTATTATAATCAAAATTTCTTTAATGATCTTGAGAAAGGCTGAGTTTACTTACTAAAATGCACAAAAATGATGTGAAAGTTGTTTTTGCAAGTGTATAGAAATATGAGTTGAAATTTTAGATATATTATCTAATACGTATCTTCCAAATTGGTATGACTGCTGACACATTTAATTGGTCCTCTATCAAGTTTTCTACACAGTGCCAAATAATTTAAACCCTTCCTTATTTCTTTGGAAGTGAGGATGCATTACCATTTTCCAACTAACTACTTTAAAAAATTAGGAGAAATGAACTGAAGAAATAAATACCAATGAAATTAATTATTGGTTGTTATATGCAAACAAGTTTAAACAAATACAAGTATAGATTTACCTTAAAAAAACTGAAAATAGGAATAAAATTTGAATTTAATTTGCTTGACAGGAAACAGTGATGTGTAGAAGGAATTATTGAATGAGAAACAAAGTCCTAGTTTGCGTCTTTGAAGAGATTATATAGTTTATATATGAAGAAAAATGTAAACTTACACTAAGAAACAGGTTGAAAAAATTAATGACAACAAAAAGGACATTAAGAAAAAACAACCTAAATACTAAGTGAGGTTATAAATTCAGATAACGTTTCTACTAATCTGTATGAAAACATATTTATATTGAAAAACTATAAATATGGGTATGTTGGCATTACCTTTTAACCCCTAAAAGGATCCTATAATTAAAACAAATTTTAAATTACTGTTATTTTAAATGAAATATTCATTGTAAAAAATAGAATTCAAAAATTAAATTTTAGAAAATGTTATCTGCTGTTAAAGGTTGAGAGGAGACAAACACCCCCATATCTAACTAACTAGAAAAGAAAGTTACAAGCAAGAGTGGAAAATTGTATTGCTTTATACCTGTATTACAAGGGAACTAATAATTGAAGCTATAAATAAAATCAATAATTTATTGCAAACATCTATAATGTATTGTGACAAGGCTAACTCGCTGAAAATAAATTACTTGTTTATAAAGCATCAATACTAGTACTATAAAATATAGGCAACAAAAGTTATAATACCAGCCTCAAAAATGCAATGCTGAAACAGCAGAAGAAACATACCTGAAAAATCAATGTAGAAAAGAGAGGATTTTTCCTTACATTTTTTTTTTTTTTTTGGAGGAGGGAGGGCTACTATTGAACTGGCTTTAACCCAATTTTGGTGAGGAGCTCTCCACACTTCTCCATCTCCTCACTGTGAATGATCATGTAGCTCATTGCCTTATAGGGCAGGATTCATGTAGCATGATACTAGAGAACTGAAACATCTAGTCAATCTGTGAGTTTATTTTGTGTGGGGATCAGACCCAGGTGTGGGGGAAGGGCTCCTGAAAGCATTTTAAGTAATCAGTATTTTTAAATGTTTGTGTTTATGTAAAAAGTCTAGACTTCAGAAAAGGGAGAAATTGAAAAAAATACTATTTTTTATTAAGTGCTATTCAAATGAGAAAATCTTAACCTCATAGTCAAAAACTATGGTATTGGCTAAAAAAACAACAACACAATTTTTGTTGTGAAAGCGTGGTCAGTCACTGATTTTCAAGTTAAGCTATATAATTTTATACTTGGTGTTTGAAATTCATTGACCGATATTATAAGCTCAAGTATTGGTATTCAAAATTTTTGCATTGATGTTCTAAACCCCAATAGGTCATATTTATGGGCCCTAATCTGATATAGCTAATAACACTTACAAGAAGAAAATATTAGGCAAAGACAACAGAGGCAGAGGTATGACTATGTGAGGACACACTGAAAAGAAAGATTTCTGTATAAAGAAAAAGGCTTCAGGATAAACCCAACTTACAATTTGATCTTGGACTCCCAGCCTTCAGGATATATGAAAATAATGTCTACTGTTTAAATCCACTAGTCAATGGTATTTCTTGTAGCAACTATGGCAAACTAATAAAACTAAAATCATTTAGACACTGGTAGTGTCAAAACAAGGAAAGGGAAATAAATATGTGCCTCGCATATGACTACCTTTTTTCCCTAACGCCCAGTAATATATTACTCATTGCAAGCTTTTTAAAACTTGGTTTTCTCAATGTTCTTCACCTATATCTGAACCACCCCACCCAATAAACCTAGCAATAGAAGATACCAGGTTCTCAGAAGAGTCAAACTTTCTGTCTTTGATGGATATTTCAAGATAGGCATTTTAACCAATTGCTGAACAGAGTCCTTTCACAGATATGTTAAAAGTCTTCTCCTGATGATATACATTGCAAAATGAAAAATGCTGACGTAACAGGGACCATGTATTTCGGTGTATGTTCAAGACCAGTCTAAATGTAATTGAAAAATGAGAAATGTCCATGTAGTAGGTCTTCTGCTCTCTGGTTTCTGAGATCCAAAGGTAAGGAGCTATTTCCAAGATTAGGTTGTGTTTGAAACTCTTTTGAATTTTAATCAATAATACATCCGTATACTTGGGAAAAAGTTTAAAAAGTTTTTTTAACAAGGAAATACTTAAAAACATTTCCATGTTTTCCCAACATTTAAGTTTAAAAACTTCCAACAAAAAATTATAAAAGTACCAAGAAAGTGAACAAATTAAATTTGAAAAGCTAACCACCTTTTTCCAATTTTATTCCATTTTTCAAATGACCACTGACATTTTGCATCTACAATGGTTCATTTACCACTGATCTAGATGATCTGTTCAAAAATCCACTTATTCAAAGTGGCCTTGTTTTGATATTTTGCTCACAAAGCAACTTTTTTTGATAGTATAGTAGAGTTTTTGAAACTGGTGAAATTTCATGATAAAAGGAGCACAGATGCAGAGACAAGCTAATGTCACAGGAGTACAATCAATAAGAGTCTTAAACCTAAAAAAAAAAAAAGACTTTTCCAGATCTCCCCTTAAAAGAGACCAATAGCAGCAATAATATATTTGCTTTCAGTCACCACTTATGAGCAGTATAGGAACTTGTTCCCCAGCACTTCCCAAAAAAATACAATCAGGTCTCTTTAGTTATTAGGCAAAGGAAAAATAAAAATAAAAATGGAATATATCTTTGTTGCCAGATAACAAGGCTTGTCTTAAGAAGAAAAAAAAATTCAGAGACATTTTAGAAAGACTAAGGAAAGCAATCTAAATGATTTCTTCCATAAACACTGACATTAAGAACATCAAGAAAATAATCATCTCTGCTAAATGAAACAATATGATTCTGTTCAATGCTAAGAGTTCATAACTCAAAGAGAAAAGTTAGTATGAATTATCAGAGAGCACTAATGATACACACATACATACACACAAACATAAAAAAAAAACATGAGCAAGGTAGTGTTGTTTATAATAAGCATTTGTAGCACAAAATACAATATGGTATTTTTTTGCTGTGTTAATTATATGTATATTAATAATATAAATTATATTTGTGTAGAAAAAAGGTCTATAAGTAAACAATTGCATTAAGAGTAGTTCTGTTCCAGGAGTAGAAAGAACTGATCAGTACTGATCACAGATAATTACCAAGTCGAAAAGGAGTTCAACATCTAATTAGCACTAATGACCATACCATGTATACATTTCAGACATTTGATAAATTAGCAGAATATCTAAAAGTGGTAACTAAGCAGAAATAGCCTTTTATCTCCTGGTACATAACAATCTATAAAGTTCTACACAATAAGGCACAAGATTTTAAATGCACAAGATTTTAATAACATCAATATGCTACACATACATATCTTACTAACACAAAAATTGTTATATAACACAAAAATGGCTATATAAAAGAATTGGGACTAAAGAAACAAGTCACTGTCTTAGAAAATACCAGTTTTGCACAACTTTAAAAAGCTAAACTTGAACTTGAAAATAAATAAAGACGTGAAATATAGAGTTTAATTGTAAATAAATTCCAACCTGGCCAATATCTTGAGTCTGAACCATTTCTGAATGAATAACAAATTCCAA